CCCCCCCCCCCCCCCCCCCCGATGACATCATCAAGCAGATATTTGCTTAATGAAATGTCATCTACATCGAAGAGCTAATCATTACAAATCTGCTGATACCTTGTTTTATTTATCTGCTGATACCCCATAAGTTATTGGCATTTAAGTTTTCTGTACCCCTAATTTTGATGGTCACAATAGAAAAGGAGTGTGGTGAAAAAGGGGTCCCTGGGGGACAGTGAGACCCAACCTTTTTTCTGTTAACATGCATTTTCTGAAAGACTGGACCCTAGGGTACATGAAAATACCAGAGAGGGGTGCACAGTGAGCCACCCTAGCCCATGGACTAAATGCCACCATAGTTGAATGAGCACTTTTCTACATGTCAAATTACTAAAAGACTTGGTGCATTTACCTGTGAGAAAAAAGTTCAGCTCAGGCTTGTGTCGAGAAGGGGTGGGCAAAGTCACCTGTGAACAAAATGACAGTTTTTGCCACGCAGCTATGTCAATAAGAGCCAATTTTGCAGCTCTGCATGRAGCATGTAGAGGCATTAAGTCAGTTTTACAGATTTTAAACTAAGAATTGCTGTGGTAGTAGTTGAGAGTGTTTCTCAAAACCTACTGAGTGTAACATCTCCTAATATTGCATGAGATTGCACAAAATGTTATTTTAAGGTTTAACCAAAACCACTACAACTCTCTTTTCTCAACCTAAAAGGAGTTTAAAACTCAGCCGGTCATTCATTCAAAGAACTTTAGACCCGCCATTTTCCCCATTTCACCTTTGTTTTAAATACACGAGCACCGTTTATCAGCACTTTCAGTAGATTTTTATTTTATTTTTTATTTTTATTTTTGTCAGAAACAAACAGGGGAAACTTGTGCTTTTATATACTCCAGTATCTACATGCATGGGCAGTACAGGTACTGTGGCATCATTATGAGCAGAGGCCTGATCATCTGTCTGCACCGGGGGAGTATTTTCTTTCCCATACGGACAGCACATAAAGACCTCATAAAAAAAATTGGCATTAGAGGTTTTTCTTTAGAAGGGAACTTAATAACAAGAGAGAGGGAGAGAGAGAGGTCTTCCACAAAGATGCTCCTCTTATCTTTCCAACTGAGTCATGACGTCAGCCCAGGCAACATGAAAATGACTTCAAACTATAGAGGGGATGAAAAGACAAGGTGTCRCATAAAAGCGTCTTGCTGACCGAAGAAGTTGAGGAAAAAAACTGAAATGAGACGATTAGTGTTGATAGATTTTATGCTCTCCAGCTGCCGATATCAAGTTCATTACTAAAACAGGAGTGAGTTTTTATTGCTGTATCAATTCTTTGTTTAATTAAATTGATGGATATGTGCTTTGTGCGCTGGAAGTCTTTATTCAGAGCGAAGAAAAGCCATGTCACATAATAGTGGGTAGAAGAAGAACAGTTAGAGAAGATGAAGAGGCACAAAACGAATGATTTGAGGCCCTTTTTATGCATTTAAACAGGCTTTATCCATGCAGATAACAGCTCTCAGTCTAACTTCCACTGTAAAAAAAATTCTGTTAGTCTAACATTAAATTCTGTTTTTCATTTCTCTCTTTATATCACGACTTTATTGACTTTTATCACTCTTTCCTCTATTTTTGTCCCTTAGGTTGAGGGCCCAAATCCCTCTCTCAATCACCTACCCTTATTTTGTTTTCCTCAACTACTCAGTCTCCTGTTTACGCCCTCTCCTGTCCTCCCCCTGCCATGTCCTTGAGGAACCCACCTCAGCGCCGGCGCTCTCTAGGTCCCGTTTCACCCAAACGAATCTACAGAAACCTGTCTGTCCGGTTGAGGGGAGGGGAGTCTGTGGCCGCTGAGGTGGACTCGCCCAAACGCATCAGCAAGTCTGCAGAAGCTGTAAGATGTTTCACTTTGTGTTGAAACCTTTTCTTTTATTTATTCTCTCTTCTACTTCTGTGCAAAATGTTTGTATAAAATTTTTCTATCATCTTTTTGAAGTGAACTCTTTCTGTTAGCAAAATAGTTCAGTCACAGTTGAATGGATTTTATTGAAGCGTTCAGAAAATAGGGATTGAATGTACCTCAAACTGATTAACTTTGGAGGCAATTCAGTTCAAGATGGCTCCTACAGCCAAGTGACCTTCAGTTAAAATCAGTTAACTTTTGTGTAAAAAAAATTACAGACAATTTTTTTCCAGTTATGTATGTTCACTTAGAAAAGGATTGCAACAATCACAAAAATGAGAAAAACATTAAAAATCCATTCTTCTCTAAAAGTTATGTATTTGTGAAAAAGTCAGTGGTAAATGGATGGTACTTATGTGTCTTTCTATCCATCCAGGATACTCAAACTGCTTTACAAAACAATCTGTGCCCTCATTTACTCATTCACACAGCGCCCTACTATAGCCTCTGTAGAAAGATTTATCTAGATTAGCTTTGTAATAAGACGGTCAGTGCTTTAGATCACATTCATACACTGATGAGACACACATCAGAGGCAGTGGGGGTTCAGTGTTTTTTTGCCCAAGGACACTTTGACATGGGACTGAAGTGCGATATAATTTAAATTAGCTGCCTCTGTGACAGTGATATAATTATATACAAATTAGGCTGTCAAATGTCCTTGGTAGTTTTGCCTACAATAAAACAAAATGTTTATATTTTTGTTTAAATTAGCCATAGTTTTCAGATAATTCCCATATATTCTCATAATATTCGTGAAAATGAACATTTCCAAAATCCCCCAGCTGAACATCACTTGGAAAGTTCCTGAAAAGTTTCCTGAAAGTTATAAGAAACTGTCCACCTCATGCAACACTAAATATGAATTATATATGCGATAGACAAGATAGCTGGGATACATTTTAGGATTTTAAAAGGGTAAATTAAAGAGTTGAGTAAAGTTGAAACAATTTTTAAAATGCATTATTAATAATACACAGAATAAAAGCAACAAATTATCTGATTCATTACAAAAATATATTTTATTCCTAACTTAATATTTCTGGCCTTTTTAATAAATTCACTACACCCGTTTTAGTCAGTTGTTACAGAAATTCCCAAACTTTCTTGGTCTCATGAGGCTCCAGTGGGAATGTATCCTCCTGGGTTGCYTTGATTTATGTGTCTTGTATTTCCCTCTCATCCACTGCCTCATACGTTGCAACTCCCTTCCCTCTACCTCACTCAATAAATCTCTTTCAACGCAAAAAAAACCCTCTTCTCCATCTTACTCTCACTCTGTGATTGTGCACCCTTTCTCATTCCCCACATTAGTACAAGAGCCTGTGGGAGGCTGTGGAAAACGAGGACACGTTGGCTGTGCAGAGCCTTTTGTCCAAAGACCATGCCAGCTGTGGAGGAGGAGGAAGCTTGTGGGAGAGAGGAGAAAAGAAAGAGAAGGACTGGGAGAAAGATAAAGAGAAAGGGGTGAACAGAGTGAGTGAGCAGGGTTTGGTTCCCCTGGATGTGGCGGCACTCACCCAGAATTCCCCCCTGCTTCACGTGCTGACAAAAGCAGGAGCCAGACACAACCCTGTTTGTGAGTCCTTCATCGAAAATGACATAATAGCCTGATGATTTAAGTGTAAGTAGGATCATATACATGTTCTCTGTCTGTTTGAACCATATTCCCTGTCAGTGTGCCACCCGGTGGAGTGGGCGCTCAAGCTGGACGCTCTGGTGACCCTGGCGAACAAACGAGTGGAAGAGCGGAAGGCTGAGCTGGCTCAGAAAGCATCAGCCGGATCCCAGGCCCAGGCAGATGTCCAAAGACAGATCCGCCTCTGGAGGCTCAGGCTACAGCTGTACTGCCGGATGAGGGAGAACTTCCACAACACAGGTCAGCCGCTTCCAGTCAGCTCGTTCAATTTCATAAACTGTGGCTCAGAACACAAACTGAGTCATGGCTGTTTTAAAGGCATAATTCAGATTTTTTAGAGTGGAGAAAGGCTGTGAACCTTTAATCCTTGGTGGAGAAAAATATTTCTCGAACTGTGACATAATGTTTTTTACATAGTAAGAGGGACCGACAGTGTTGCATACATCTAGTAAAATTATTTCATATATACATTATTGTTGGCCACATTGCATATGTTTAAAAACAAGTAAGAACAAACAAACGCACTACAGGCCCATGCTCCTAAGTTGTAACTGCCGAGGAGAGGCACAATTGCAGAATCAGAGAATTTAATAAAGAAGCGCTCATTACGATGGCTTTAACAATCATTTGTTTATAAAACAAATAAAAGAACACAACCCTGAGGGGAGCTATTTGACTAAAAATGGATATCTGATAAAAAATATCATTCATCTTTACTCATGATTTCAATGTTAAAACAGTTCATCAACAAACACCTTATACCAGTGTCAATGTTAAAAACGCTTGTTAACCTTTCTGCTAAAATATGGGTCTAAGTGCTGTTAAAAGCAGAAGAGAAATCAATAAACAAGTAGACAAAAAATTGGCTTCCTGCAGATGTTTAAAAGCCCACCACCTTTCTGCCTGTTCTGTAGGTAAATGAATGAGGGTCTAGCTCACACATGGGCCTCTTAACATCCAGCCCGTTACCTGTCACTGTCTGACCTGCAATAAATCAATAAACAAGATGTGAATCAAAAATGTTTCTCCAAGCAAATCTAAAATCTCTGCTTTTATACTGAAACTACCTATTGCAGTGATTTTATTTTGAAGGCAAGTAGGCTGACTGATAGCAAAGTAGTAAGAGGTTAAGGAGTTACCACTGGTGGACCGTTTTAGGCTGAAAAATATTCACATTTTTTGTGATGACACGTAGCCTAATTCTCAAACCTTAGCTTTATCAGAACTGTTTTTAAAGGTGGAACAAATGGTGATTTGCCTTAAAAATAAATTATTCTTTTATGTTCTAATGAAGAGTTGCAAATCCAAGTTTCTACCAAAACACAAATGTTTATTTGTTAATTTGTTGACATCTAAGGTAAGATGTGGTGCTTAGTTTGTGAAGAACAGATATTTCTAAGGATTACAGCTTTAGACTAAACACAAAGAAAAACATTACCTTCAATGTTTCAGAACTTTATTGACCAATTATAATCAAAGTGGTCATACAGGGAAGTACATGAATGTGCACATTTTTCACAACTATTTTTGTGACAATTGCATCATGTGTTCCTGGCCTTCTACAACAGTTACTTATGTAGCCCTCTGAGGAATTGAATTGCCTACCCTTGGTTCAGCTTGTCTTGGACAGTGTCCAAAAGTGCTAACTTCACTAACCTTTCAAACATTTTCATAAAAAGAAGTGAGTGCTACAAGCCTAAAGTCATTACTAGTCTTCCTTGTTGTGTTCTCAGACATTGAGTCCTTCTAAAGGCAAGAGAGCATGTGTGTATGCAAGGACCAGCAAAAGCTAAAACTAAAACTGTCTGCCAAATAAAAGGCATAGTTGTTCAGAACACGACATCCATTTCCATCAGATCCAGAGCTTTTCTGTACTGTAAGCTTATTGATGATTATGTTTAAATTTTAAATCAGCATCGCTTCCTCACTTGATTGTTTGCTGGCACCTGTTACGTGCCCATTACTCTCTAGGCTCGCTTTTTCCACATAAGTGAGAGTGTAGGGTGGTAACAAAAAATAAATACAGCGGGTAAAATAAGTATTGAACATGTCAACATTTTTCTCAGTAAATATATTACTAGAGGTGCTAATGACATGAAATTTTCACCAGATGTTGGTAACAACCCAAGTGATCCATACATACTATCAGGTTTTTAACAAAGTCAACGTGAGCAAACACCAAGAACAATTCAGGAGGCAAGAACTTGTATAATAA